CATTTGAAAGGACTGACTAAAGTGAATGTTAAAGTGAGAAACATAGAATGTTATAATAATTCAATAGTTGTTTTTTTTTTTTTTTTTTGGTTCATGAAACACTTTATAACTTGACAATGAAGTTTGTGACATTTTAATTGTGCATGATCTTGTGCCTCGACATCTTTTTACAGGCCTAATAGTGTCTCTAGAGAGGATAACAGCCTTTTGTATTTTCTGTATTTAAATAATTTTCTGTACCCTCCTTGCTGTCTGTGTTTAAAGAATTAAGTTTTGCCTTTTTGGTAGAAAGTGTTCTTTCCAGCATATTGAAAAGCTAAAGCTAACGCTAAAGTTGTCACCGCCTGAAGCTTTTTTTTTGTATACGTTTAAATCAAAACTTGCACCTTACAGAAAACCAGAATAAAAAGTGCCAGATTCAGTCTTAGACAGAAGGGATTTCTCCTGGGTATTTGAAAAAACAAATAAATCTACAGAAGTGTTTTTTGTCCTTTTCAATTTTTTCTCGTTTGTCCTCCTTGTTGTGAAACATGAATCTTTGTGGCGGGCTGTAAAATCAAAAACCAAAGCCTGAGAAGCAGCTGTTAAACATCAGGAGCAGCTTTGACGTACAGCAATCCTGCTCTGCCACAGCAGCCTGTACCGGTGGGAGGCAAGYGTACAACTACATAAGGTAATTGTTTTGAAGTCTATTGTAGTATAGTGAAGTGCTAACTGGCAGTTGGACTCCAGTACACGGGTACAGGCGCGCTCTCCCTCTCTTTTCCTGTCACACTTGCCTTTACTGTCTCTCAGCCTATTGCGTGGAATTGTTAATCCAAGATCCTCTTTACATTCTCTGTGGGATTTTATGAACATTCCAAGACAATGAATAGGGCCACTAATCTCAGCGGTACAGCTAAATCCAAAACAATGGCGAATAATGCAAGCCTGCTCAGTTCTACTGTGTTGAAGCGGGCCTAAACCCATCACTTGTGCTCCGGAATTACAAGGGAGGTGTGCGTCATGTCAACAGGATCTGGTACAACTGTCTTCACCCAGAATAATGCTGAGCTTTATCCATCGCAGTGTTGCCTCCGTGTGTTGAAATGAAACTGAGCTAATGAGAAAAGGCACGCCTACTGGGAGACAATAGCTGTGCTTGGAAAACGCTAGTGAGGGTCCATTTCTAGTTTATTCTTTGTTCCAYCACTGCGCTGGGTTTAATGTTGCATCTCATCTTTGTCTGACTTTTGGTGCGGTATCAAATTTCTATTGCTTTAGTATATTTACTGCCTTTCTAATATATATAGAAAGGCAGTAAAGATGTATAGAAAATTCATGATTTGGTTCGGTTCAATACTTCAGTCTCACGGTTTGATATACAGTATTTTTGATACAAAAACGAGAAATTTCCATGGCCTTCATAACTTGTAATTTATAGAAATGTATTATGAACATTTGTTCAACAATAAAAGTACAGCCTTTAAATTAAATGTTGCTGAAACAGCAAGTTTCTCAGTGGACCTGCACTCAAAAATGCAGCCTAGGTGGAGTAGTCGAACACAGATCCACTGATCCTTCAACACAGAGCATCTTCAGAAGACAAGCTAATATATCTTTCAATCAACTTTTGATTACAAAAGGAAACAATAATATATAGCTTAGGTAGCAAAATAACTGAAAGTACCAAAGATGTACACAGTCCAGCCAACCGGATTTGAATAACTAAGTAGCAAAATGAGGATACATACCAGGTAAGTCAACAAATGTATCATCTTCATCCAGCAAAGCAGCCATTTTTTCAAACAGTCTGTTCTCGCCTGCATTCATCATTCCTAGAAATAAAAATAAATACGAACTTTTTATAAAACTTCAACAGTGGTAGAAACTCACATGATACAGCTATACATTTCTGGACTTAAACATTACTTTCAACCTATCAAACAAGTCAATCTAAAGCACATTTAGCATGCAAACCTGATTTATTAGTTATAGCGGAGGAGGCTGAAAATGGAGTAATGAAGTAGGAGCATCACCATGCCTGTTAGTTGGCCTGTCATCGTGTGATGAGATTTGATTTGGTGAATCCTTTGATACTACAAGGCAGTGATATCCAAAAGATACAGGTGAAAATGGCTACTCCATTAATAGCTAGGTTTCATTATAACATGTATATTACTTGGCCTCCCAAGAGCTTGCTTTTAATGGGCCTACGTTAGGAGGGGTCTGCAAACTATTGATAGTGCTCTGYGTGTGCCTTCTGACTGGGGAGTGGAAATGTTACGGCGAAATGAAAACTGACCAACGATACGCGACCTTCGTCAATGACAACGAGTTGGGTGGCCGATCTACGATTGCCATCGCTTGGTGTATTTACATAGAATGTCCYGCCGTCACAAACGGCAGCCCGCTACTGGTGATCTCTCTCACCCCTCTTTAATGAACCGAGGAGAACCATTATGACAGAGAATGACATACTTAATTCCAGCTCATCTTCGGCGCTGACCCCAGCCGTCCAGCATTGCCTTGGGTCTGTCTGCTCCGCAGACGACGGGTCAAAGTAATTTTGGGCACGTTCATTTTCTTTGGAAAGTGAGAGAGGAGGGTGATTGGGGGAGGAGGAGGAGGAGGGGGGCGGACAAAAATGAAGGGTTGGGAGATGGAGAGGAGAAGGTGTGTTTGGGAAGAGAGGGAGGGGAGTTGTACAGGTTGAGGTTAGTGGTTATTAGAAGCACATGAAGCACAGTTTTAATTTTGAAACTGTTGAAGGGCAGTGGCAGGTAGCAGATAAGGCAAGATGCGACAGAAGTTCAGGGAAAGARAAGCGGGGGAAAAAGGCACCTCTCTATGGCCTGCAGTGCTCTGGGGCCTAATTAGCATGCYGCTAAAGGTCAAGGCAGGCAATCTCTTAAATACAACTGCCATATGTTTGCAATGTTCAAAAGGAACTAATGAGAAAGTCTACAAGCCTGGAAGTACCTGGAATTTCAAAGACAATACTTTCTAAATACTCTGAGGTCAGAAGCCTAGAGGACCCGGCGAGTTGGAGGAGCAGATCCAAAAGGAAAATAACCCCTTAGCTCATGTCTCATTGACTTCTTATTAGCAATCACTGACCTATGGGTATCAAGTCTGCTCCACACAGTTTATGGGAATCAAATGACTTCGGGGCCCTTTCCATTAAGAGTACACACCACCAAGCAGCTTTCTTAACCCCAAATCATTCTCATTACAAGCCTTGAATATTTCACTCCCATCTAAATTGCTTTACTTGCATTTCTCAGGGTGTGAGGCAAAAAAARGRAARRAAAAAAGCACAGTGCATTAAATCATGTTATATACTGCRCACAAGGACTGCCTTTATAGGAGTCTGTGGGTGTCGAGGGCTCRGATGTTTAAAAAACCTAAGGAAGTGTGTTTGGATAGGAGCGCAGCTGCCCCCCCAAAAAAGTTCACCGGGATTTATTTTTTTTAAATGAAATATGAAATATCTGCGTGAGGTTTTCACACCCTGTCCGTACTGAAAGTTAAACACTCCGGCTGAAATAGTTATTAACTGAGAAGCAGCCGTATGACTCTTCAATGGCACCATAAATTGACTGTGAAATTCTCGTGTTAAATCCCTCTACACTGTTAGCAGCGAGTTTGAACAATTTCTCCGCAAATAGCTCTGAGGTTATGAAACCCTTTTTTCAAATACAAATTTGCATAATGGTAGCAGCTTCGTGAATCGCCTTTTGAGTCATAGCTGTGATTTACCTAAATAGTCTGGCTGCCCTCCAATTCATCCCTCTAATGAAAATTTCAATTATCTGTTCTTACATGCACAAGATCAGTATTTCTTGCCAGCCAGAGATACCGTTAACTGAGACTCAAAGATAATGACATATTCTTGGAAATGTCAAAGTTTTTCAAAAAAATAAAAAAAAAGGAACAAACCTGAGCAGTTTTTTTGGAGCTGTCAGCGTTGGTTCAGAAATAACTGAACTGATGATAAAGCTTCAGCTTAAAATATACTATGAGTGTTTTATATTTTAGAATTTATACATTTGAAGCTTTCACAAACATTAGATAGAATATTGTAATGCTTTTTTACAATTCTTTAAAAAACACCATCTTTAAAGTCTTTAGGTCTTTGTGTGACTATGAAACACAAAATAACTTTTAATATTATTACTTATTACATCTTTTGTCATATAATTACTAACATTTTGACTTTTTAGACAGTCACATTCTAAAATAAGAATATCAATATTATTTAAAAAAAACATCAATTGATACAAAAAGAAAAAAAATGTGTAGGTCTTCTGGACGGGTTCAAAATGTCCTGATGCATCTCAGTAATCC